GCGTCTAGCTGTCATAAGAATACGATGTATGATTAGAAATATTTGAACAAAATGTTTGTATGATAACAATAAAACAAAAGCAAAATTGAACATAATTGGAAATAGAACAAGCAGCAGACATGGGGTTGGCAGGAGGTTATGTTTTCACCGGCGTGTGTTTGTTCGGCGTGTGTTTGTTGGTTTGTGGGTTTGTTTGTGTACAGCCTAACTGAAAAAGTTATGGACGGATTGTCATAAAATTTTCAGGATAGGTCAGAAATGGGCTAACTTAGAATTGATTACATTTTGGTCGTGATCCGGACCCAATTAATTATTTAATTAATTAATTAATTAATTAATTTTTTTACAGTGACAGAATTGAGCTGCCTTGGCGGAGGTCTGTGCTCTCCGAGTGCTCTAGTTGGAAATAGAACAAGCAGCAGACAAGAAGTTATATACAAAATATGTTGGACACATATAAATAAAATATATGTAGTAATCAGTACAGTACAGTAATCGAATATTTACATGCTAATAAAGAATAACTTAAGCGACATATATTACAATTTATGTCAATGACACGATTAAATGTATGAAAAAATAATCAAAATAAATAACAAAACAAACAGAACGGTTTTTCAAACTGAACATACATAGGTGAGAAAAGAAATATAGCATAATTATAAAGAAATATACTTATCAAGAATATGTATAAAGCAGTCACATAAGATAGGAAAATAATGAATTGTAAGCATATATAACACCTTTACATACGTTAGATTTGACAATTAATAACTACATGCAAGAGTAATCAGTATCAAAGTACAGTAAGCAGTATGTACAGTAATAGAATATTTACATGGTAATCAATACTAACTTAAATGGCCTATATTACAATTCATGTAATGATTGAATGTATAAAAAAATCAAACTAAAGTACAAAACAACACATACAAGCAAAATATCTAGAATAAACAACATGAGAATCAAAATTGACTAGGTGCATGTAGTTTATTCATGAAGGAGTGTACTGTTGAATCATGTGTGCCTTGTACGCATAGCTGAACTTTTTAATGGTAAGTAATTTAGTAATTATATTAATGTAATACCAAAGTTTTGCTCCTGCAGATTTGATGGATTTAAAACCAATATTTGTAGATACTCTATAGGGATAAAGAAAAATTGGTTAGTTGCTGCTCTAGTCTGATAATGAGGTGTATCAGAAGTTCTCTTAAAGTAGTTGCAAAACAATTCAGGGAGAGTCCCTGTATTATATTTATACATAAATTTACCTAACTCTAGATTATAGATGTCGATTATTTTGAGTAAATACAATTCGTGGAAATAAGGGGTTGCAGTTTCTCGCCAGTGAGCAAATTTGATAAGTTTAACAATTTTATTTTGAGCTGTTTGTAGAGGTTTCAGTGTAGTTTTGTTGGCTGTACCCCATGTTAATACTGCGTATGTTAGATAGGGATAAACAAGAGAATAATATATAGTAGTAAGCAAATCTTGTGGAATATAGTGTCTAAGTTTAGATATAATACCTGTTGATCTTGAAATTTTTGTCGAAATATATAGGTAATATGATTCTTCCATGTAAGACGATTATCAATGTAGATTCCTAGAGATTTTATAGTGGATGTAGAAGGAAGATGGTGGTTTCCCATTTTCACGCTAAAGTTGTTGTTCTGATTCTTTGAGTTAGAAATAATCATGAACTTAGTTTTCTGATAGTTGACTGATAGGATATTTGCTGACATCCACGTGTTAATTTTTTTAATTTCGGTATTTACTAAGTGTTGAAGATCACCCATGTTTTTATTTGTCATAAATAGGTTAGTATCATCAGCAAAAAGTCTGGTGTTATAATTGGTAGCATTGGGGAGATCGTTAAAAGAAGAGTTTACTCTAGGTTCTAGTTTCAGCTAATTTAGGTTATAGTTACGCTACATAAAAAGTAACAGCAACAGTAGTAGCAGCACCAGTAGCAGTAGCAACAGCAGCAGCAGCAGCAGCATCAGCGACGGCACCAACAACAACATTATCCGCGGCAAAATAATAATAATAATAATAATCAGCAGCAGCGCAATCATCATTGCTACATGAAGCTCCGCCCTCCCGGATATCCATCATCGAGCGAGAAGGAAACGGGACATAAATCACATTATGAGGTCGTCCTCACCTTGTCTGACGACCACTGGTTAGGAATCGTTGGTCGGCGTTTCTCTACCGCTACGATCTGACGCATGTCTTCTGAGCTTGGGTCCGATACAGCCAGATCGTAGTAGGGCACTTGGTACGGCTGCGCAGCGACATCTACCGGAGAGAAGAGATGCAATTGAATGCGTGAACGATAACGATATAATTTGTAGCCCACAGATGGGTCCTTTCGCTATCGCTCGCTCTTTATCTCTCTCGCTCTCTTTCTCTCTCTCTCTCTCTCTCTCTCTCTCTCTCTCTCTCTCTCTCTCTCTCTCTCTCTCTCTCTCTCTCTCTTTCTCTTGCTCTTGTTCTCTCT